ATCTTCTGGATGGGGAATGATGCTACCCATTTAGGATGCTATGCGCACAAGTTAGGGCTGTGGTCTTTTCTGTTCTCCTAATTCCTTTTTAAATTTCACTTGCACATTGTGTACTCCTCTAGGCCTTCTCCTTGAGCCCATGGTATCTGCCATGTGCACCCCTTTTTCTGTACATCCAGTCCTGTATATCATTTGATATATAGGATTCACAGGATTGTGTGATCCCACTTTTACCTATATGGGAAAATGTTAGCCCTGTACTCTTGTGATTTCCTTGCATGTGCCCCACTGCTCTGAGACAGATTTACTCCCATTCCACTCTGACCAAATCATACCTGATCTTCATGAAATCGGCCTTCCCCACAGTTTGGAACTTAAGAGTTCAAGACCATCATTATCCTTTTCCATAACCATCTGAATCCAACAGAGTTATGATTGCTATCTGCAAAATGCTGTCTCACTGATAATTCAATTCCATATCTGGCTTCATTACCTAAAATTAAGGCTGGAACAGTCCCTCTTGTAGGACCATCCGTTTACTGGCTGCAAAAACTGCTGGATGCATGTTAAGAATCCTGCACCTTCTAAACCTTTCACGCAGTGACTACTTGAAGTAATGTTAAGGAAATTTGAATCCTTACTGTTACTAGCTAATACTTTTTCCCTTCTCTGAGATTTGCCTACCTGTCTGCTGTTTTATTTCTGTAGGAATGTTTGGGGCTTATAGTACATTCCAGCAATGTGATTGCTCGTTTTTGGTTTTTAAGTTTTCATTTGACGATTCTTCTGAAATGTCTGAGCAGATCTGGGCAACACACCTTAAGAATGATATATTGGCCTTAGAGGGAGTACAACATAGCTTTACAAGAATGATACTTGGTCTTCAGGGTTTAAGTTATGAAGAGAGATTGAAGAAATTACCTGTGTTCTCTAGAATTTAGAAGGTTCAGGGTGACCTGATTTAGTGTTGAAAATCTTAACAGGAAGAGACCCAGTAAATAGAGAAACTGTT